ATGTCAGAACCTCCTAATAAGGAGGGTGTTAGCTGGAAGGATCAAGCTGACGTGGTAACTCAGAGATATGGCACCGGTGTGTGTTTCACAGACTGAATTAAAAGCAAAAAGGGTTTCATAAATCTTAAACTGGCCTTCTGTTAAAGGAGATGATTAACTGGCTTTTCAATAACTAAGATCTCACTCTTTTCAGCTTTGGAAACACTGATGAAGCAAATCAGGCAATGTTTATAAAGGTTATAAAATGAGTAATTCTGGTATTTCATAAAGCAGTGACTTCAAAAAAAGTTATTCCTATTGCTTGTCTCTGATTTAGCAAGATCACAGATCTTTGTGAAACCTTCAGATTTGTGTGCTTACAGAAATTGCGTGCTAATAAGCACTTTGATCTTTTCTGCCCTAGTTTGAGTAAAACTGCTCGGAAAAATCAAGGACTGGGAGTGAGGGCTGGTGGTGGGGTTTTTTCCAATGGTGTATTCTGCTGTTTTGATAAAGGTACACACTTTGGTACTTTTCCTCTTGCTGAGTTCCTTGGTGAAAGCAATTAGTAAATATCGTGATGCGCTGAATAGTTCTTAAAAAACCCCAACCAGTGAACCAAGCAAATGCATAAAATTTAGCTCATTACCATGGGCATAGAATTGTAAAAACTGTAAATGAAATTCTGCAACACTGTTATTTCTTCTTGCACTAACTTGCATATATTGTTGTTGAGAGAAAGATTCATTCGAATTCTTTATTACTCTGATACAGTACCTCTTACACTGAAAGACTAATAAAGTGTTTAGTCATCACCATTAACAGTATTTCCTATCAAACTTCCATACATTTTTACTTTAAAAGCCAAAATAGTTCTATTTACTAGCTCCTGTTTTCAACCTATAATGCAAGAACATTCATATTCTTGATCTTTCTCAAAGACTAATCTATAGAACAAGTTGGTTTATACAATCGTCTATCTCACCACTTGTCCCTTTCCAAAATTTCTTTTATTTTAATGCTCTGTGTAGTTTTTTAGTATGTGGGGTTTTTGCATTACAAAGTTCTGTTTGAACCTTTCATGCAGTTGCAATTACTTTGTTTTCCATCTCCCAGAAAAAGAAAAAAAAACATAAGAAATATTCAAAAACTGACAATAATTCTTCCAAGAAATAAAACTAGCACGAAGTAAAAATTAATTATTTCATCCTCTCTCCCTATGGGTGCTGCACATGCTGTATGAATGTCACATTCTAGCATAGAAGAAATTAATCAGTGTTTAAATTGCAGATATTCCCTGTATAATAACCTGATTTGCTCAATCTAAAAAGCAAGGATTTTTAAAATAGGTCCAACCACTTTGATAACTTAAACAAATCTTAAGAAATTAGGGAGTTAGTGTTTTCTGTGTAGTCTTTCTTTGTGTTCTACCTTGCATTTAAAAAGTATGATTTTTGTTGCATATTCCTATAATTGGAACATAATTATATCATAAATTCACTAATTTGTGACATAAATGAGCCTGGGCAAAATGGGGATTTTGCCTGTTCTTCTAAATATATTTCCACTGATGCCATTATTTCCATTCTCAGTAAGCACTGAGGAGTGAATTAGGTAAGAAGCGCTCTGAAGGATTCCCTCACAGGCAATACTGAAGAACAGTGTTTAGTACACCCAGTTAAAATGTCATAAACATAAAATGGTGATGAATTGCTTCGTATTGAACTTGGCAAATTTGTACCATGAAACTGCTTTTTCGTGCTATTTTGGCAGAAAAAGGGTGAGCAATTATTGTAATTTCGTAAAATCTGAAATCACAGAATAGTTATCTTCTTCCTAAACAAAATGTCACTTTACAGAAAGGCATATCTTGGAAACTGTTCTACTGACTGTGTCATTGCCTGTCTGAGCCTCATTTGCCCAACTAGCATGTTTGAGGATGAATGTAACTAGATGCAGTCATCAAGAAGATCGTCTTGCTTTCTTCGGATTGGCATTCAATTTGGCAGACAGGGGGAGAAACTGATGATTCAAATATTCTCAGGCCATCTTCTTTATTTTGTAATTTTTCTTTAACTGCTCCATTTTATATAGCAAAAAAAAAAAAAAAAAAGATTTTGCTATCACCAAACAGGACATGTAACATGAACTACTTTGCAACTCAACACATGAATTTAAGTATCTCTCACATAGCCCTCCTAAAGATGTCAGGTACCACCCAGATGAGCAAACCCCCAGCTGCAATAAAAGGAGTCATGAAGCTAATATAAAGGAATAGGAAAACCTAAATGTTAGAAGATGGGAATTGACTGCAGAAGTAACAGTGGGAGAAAGATGATGGAAAAATACTGGGAAGAATCTTACAGTGATAAGGGGGAGGTAATGGGGAAAGATGCCAACAAGAACAAGACCCAACTGTCTACCAGAGACCTCTTAATATCAAGAGTTTGTATCTTCATCAGAATTTCTTAGACCCCACCTTAATCAAGACCACAAGCTGCAGTCCTAAGAATCTGGAAACATGGAGTAGAAACATAGGAAGCAAAGGGGATATTCTGGACATGCAGAACTCATTTCAGTAGCTTTGTTTCTGCCCCACATTTACTTTGGCTTTTAAATCTAATGTACACAAGATTACGGATAGGTATCCAGGGACTAGGACACAGGATGACCTAATTTTAAGTATTTCTTCAGTATTGGTCTTTACTTCATGCATGATATGAAAGACAAGTAAGGCCTGGCAAAAAACCCAAACCATTTAATTTGTGGTGGCACTGTTCACCGCTTGGAAGTGATTTGAATCCCTCTTAGCTGGTGAGTTGTTACCTGCAAGTTATTGATTTATTTTATCCTTTCTATGGCCAGCAGCCAAACATCACTCAGGATGTTAATTCAGGATGCTCCCCACAGGACTGAACTGAGATCCCCGAGAAAAACCCTTCACCATGTTCTGCTTCCTGTTCCCTGCCTTCCTTCAGTGATATGGTCTGTGATCCTTCCTTAAATCCAGAAGATCTGTGACAGGGAAATGAATAGTGGATTTCTTTTTTTTTTCCCTGAGCATATAATTTTCTTAACTTATAGTTTCAGTGGTCTATATGAATTTAAAAGGTGCCTTGGGATTTGAGCAATTTTAACAGTGTTTCAGTACTTCTTTCTGATGCTAGCATATTTATTTGAGGATTAGCCCTCTAAGTAGTTCTACATACGGATAACTAAGAACATGTTTGCCTCTTGTTTGCTTCAGTAGTTTATTACAGCATGAATCTGTATCAAACCCAGTCGTTTGGTCCAGCATCTGGCACAAGGGACATGTCATTAAAATGTTATTTTGCAAGAGAAAATATAAATAGGATCAGTTTCTGTATGACAGGTATCACTAGGGAGAAAGTTTTAAGAAAAATTTACATCACTTCAAACAGTTAAGTTAGCAAGATTCTTACCCGGGTGAAGTGTACTGTAGGAGAAACAAGACGTTTTATAAAGGTAGCGTTGGCTGAACAACTGCAGGTAAAAAGGAGACAGGAGTTCAGTGTGACATGGCAGTGAATGTGGTACCGGGAGGTTGCTGGCCTGAATACGAGGAACTGAGAAGTCACCATCTGGCACACAGAGAACACGAGGCTTGCAACAGTGACCGCAAGTAACGTGGAAAACTACCCGTGACCTATGTGGCTTGGCCTGTGATGGGAGGGTCACAAAGCAAGCAAAACAAGCAACAGAAGCAGTATAAATGCATATACTGAGGGCCTCTGAACTGATTCAGGGTCTGAACACAACAGTCATGCAATGGAGCTGAGGGGTGGATAAGAGCAAGCAGATAGCTGCGGGAGTGGTGACCTGATCCCAAGAGGGAAGAGAAGAGCCTCTTCTCCTGCTCTGCCGCCCATGCTAAGCTAAGAAAGCTGTGTATAACAGTAACAACCTCAGTCACGGTCATTTCCTTCACGGGGTGGATTCTCGTTGCCCCAGGTTGTAAGATACAAGCAGCACCCCAGACAGGCACGTGGACGGCGCAAGTTCGTCCCCGATTCCCAGGAAACTCCTGCAGTGATGTGCGGACTGTGCCCTAAGCCTGGAGCTGCACGCGGGGCCTGGAGCCGCTCTTCCCTCGCATGGGGACAATCCCAGGGGGAGCAGCGGGCTGTCCCGTGAGAAGGGGAGCGGGCACACGCGGGGGGAACGAGGTGCCAGTGCCCGTGAGCCACAGCCACAGCCACTGCCACTGCCACAGCCACTGCCACTGCCACAGCCATTGCCACAGCCACTGCCACTGTCACTGCCATTGCCACAGCCACTGCCACAGCCACTGCCACAGCCACTGCCACAGCCACAGCCACTGCCACAGCCACAGCCACTGCCACTGCCCACGCAGGGAGCAGCCACGGGGCTCCGCACGCTGCCCCCCGCCCAGCCGCAGCGCCTCACAACAGGGGCAACTTACTGGCTTTCACTCCGCTCCCGAGGCAACCCGAGGGCTGCCCAGCCTCGTCCCGCACGTCCCCCTGCAGCGGTCCCCGCGGCTCCGCACCGCAGCGATGCCAGCGAGTCCCTCCCCGCCGCTGGCAGCGCCGCTAACACCTCCTGGACGTGCGGGGAAGCTCCGTGCCCGCCGCCGGCTGATCTCCCGCGGGGACACCCCCCGGTCGCTCCCCGCCCTGCCGGGTGCACCCCGGAGCCGCGTGGCGGGGCCCGGCTGCTGTCCCGCCGGGACGCCCCCGCTCCCAGCGCCCCTCCCGCCCCCGCCATGAGGGGGCGCCCCCCCGTCCCCCCCCCCCCTCCCCGCGGGTCGCGCCGCCTGTTGTTTGTCCGGGCTCCCCGCGGCCGCCGGGGGGCGGGGCCGGGGCGCGGCGGCCAATCAGGCGGCGCCGCCGGCGGCGCGTCGGTGGCAGTGGCGGCCGGAGCGGGCCGGGAGGGCGCACGCAGCGCGAGCGCCGCTCCGTTGCCCGCGCGGGCGGAGCGGAGCGGAGCGGAGCGGGGCGGGGGGCGCCAGGCGGATCCCGGCTCCGGGCAGTCGCGGCCCGGGACATGGCGGCGGCGGCGGCGGCGGCCGCTCGGCGGCGGCGGCGGCGTCCCTGGGCCCTGCTGTGCCTGGCGGCGGCCGCGCTGCTCTGCCCCGCGGTGGCCGGTGAGTGCGCGCGGGTGCGGGGGGAGGCGGGCGCGGAGGGAGGGAGGGAGGGAGGGAGGGAGCAGGCGCGGCCGGGGCTGGGAGTGGGGGGGGCGGGTGGGGAGAGCGGCGGGGGGCTGCGGGTCCCCGCCGGTTCCTTTCAACAACATGGCGGAGGGGCCGGCTGGGGCGGAGTCACCGCCCCCCCACCCCCGGTGTCCGAGCCCGGCGGGGACCGCTCGGCCCTTTGTTGGAGGAGCGCGGCGGCGGCTCCGAGGGAGGAGGGGCAGTGGGAGCTCCCCGCCGCTATCGCCTCGTCCCCGCCCGCCAGCGCTCCGGGCGGCGTCTGCCCGGGGTAACTTTCCCGCGACCGCCCCGGCCCCCGTCCCCGCGGGGATTGTGGCCGTGGCCCGCGAAGGGAACTTTGTTATCGCTGGCGGAGCACCCTCGCCCCTCCCTCTCTCCCCGCGGACAGAGGAGCCCCTGAGGGCCCCCCGGCTCCGGCCCGGGGTGGGCCGGCAGCGGGAGGAGCGGCAGCCCCCGGACGCTCGGAGGCGGTGCCGGCGCGGAGCGGGGCCGGAGGAGCGGGCGGTGCGGATACGTGTTGAATGTTCCACGTAGCGGGACTGACAAGAGGCTGCCCCGGCTCCGGTCGCGACACAGCACGGTGTGCCCAGCACCTCCTGGCCAGGGTGCTCGGTGAGCACCAGGCTGTGTGAAAATTAAATCCCTGGTGGATGTTGTACGGCGAAGCGGTTTTGTTCCTCTGGCCTTCTGTACCTATGCTCTTTTGCGAGAGAGATCTGATATCAGAGCTGTGCTGTTGCAGAGCTAATGCATGAAACAGGAGTGTTTAACAGCATTCATAAATACAAGAGTTGTCACTTTTTTTCTTTTTTTTTTTTTTTAAGGCCGCTTCATTCTGCGGTTAGCAGTTTGGGAAAAAGGTCCTAACAGGGCATACAACTGTTTGAGACATGAATCCTGACTCAGGTTTCAGTTTCATCTGTATTAAGTTAGGTGATGACGACAGATACACAAAATCTGCATTTTATAAACAGTCCACTTATTAAACTCTTCCGTGGTTGGATTATATATTGCTTTGGGGTTTAAAGAGGAAGTGAGAAGCACCACAACTTCTTCAGTTACAGCTTCGATCTGGATCTTCACCACGCTGTTCATAATTCAATCTAAACTGGTACTCATGCTGTAAAAAAAAAAAAAAAAAAAAAAAAATTACTTAAATAAAGCGTAGCTTGCTATACTAAAATATGGCGTTAATCACCCATATTCTTATTGAAGATGGTAGTGAATCTCTGATGTGGAAACAGTCAAATAAGTTCAAATTACCCATGTGTTCTTGAAAAGGTGCGTCAGGCTTTAATAATTTAAAGCTTTCTTATGTAACAGATTCAATTTAGATGTTGACTGAAATTTTACTTCGATTTTAGCTTTGAACTTTTCCCTTTTAATGTCTCTCATCAATCAACAGTTTCCCCTTAATCTCAAGCACGACATTAAAGTCTAAAAGCTTTATGTGAGAACAAGGCAATAGACTCCAGTGCAAAAGCTTAGGCATGGTACTGGTGGTGTGTTACCTTTTGTTTAAAAAGGGAGAAATCCTTTCTGTGCAAGGGGAATGGGGAGGGATCCAGAGTTCTTGATCCATAACTCATAGAGAGGCCCTGGTACTGGTAAGGAGTTAATTTGCTAAACGTTGTGTCTAAGCTGACAAAATGAATATAAGCTTTCTGGTTTTCACTGTGTAAGTCTTTATTCTCGACGAAATTCCGGGGAGTCACCTCTTGGAAACTCTTGCAATCACATAATTGCTTTTAACCTCAAATAGAGATAGTAATCTGATTTATATGGTGGAATGAATTTAAAAGTGCAAAGGAAGATCTTTCTTATTTCTGTTTTTGTAACACTAGTTGCATTATAACCTAGCCTTTTAATTTTAACTTTGTTCTGGTTTTTTATTTATGTAAATGTATTTATTTATATCGTACTCTTCTAGGAAAGATACACTAACAATTTTTCTGGTATCTTGCTGTAAGAGGCCTGAAAATACCTGTGGGTAGTGTTACCGATGAGAGGCAAAAAACCTGATAGTGCCATTTGGCACCTGCACTACAGAGAATATAATGCCACTTTTTTGAAGCTCAGATTTTACGTGAGGTTTTATCATTGCTTGCAAGTTGAGGGTAGGGCCTTAATAAACTAGGTCGTCTGTTTTCTTGAGTGCATCACTTTGGTTGGTAAAACCTGCTCTTTGCAGTGGAAGTTTTGCTTAACAAGGATGAATGAAATGTATGGGAAAGTTTTCCTGAAGACTTGATATCCGGTGCTGTTACTTAATAAGAGTTAAACTTAAGTAGTGCATTTGTGAGAAAAATGCATTAGTGAAGGTCATGAACTATCATGATTTTAAAAACTGTACCTATGTCCCAGATATTTTAAGACCTAAGCGTTTTTGTGTCTTGAGCTAGAAGAGTTCAGAGCGGATGATTCAGGTGTATTGTTTGAGGGGATTGAACTAGAGACGCAGAAGCTGACAGCACTGTTCTGTATTATGCTTTTTTGCTTCTGGCAAATTTTATTGCAGAGGGAAAAAAACTACCAGTGAGCACTAAAGCTCTCTTGCTCATCCTCCCAAAATCTATTAATCTCTTGCACAGCACAGCTGTACTCCTTTATCCCTTGAAACTCTGCATCTTGTGGAACCAAGAGATCTAATTGTTCTTCTGGTGAGATTTTTGTTTCAAAAATTGTATTTTCCATGAGAGAAGAGTTAGATTCTTCTCTTGTGATATTATTTTTTTGGTGTTAGGGTCCTGAGAGTAGTTGTATTTTTTAAATTTGTAAAACAAAGATATATTATAAAATTGTTAATTGCTTTTAATGAGTTATGAGTTGGGGTTGTTGGGTTTTTGTTGTGGTTTGTTTTTTTTTTTTTTATTAGAGCACCTTGCAAGTTTTAACTGATGTAATACCCCTTGTTAGCATTCTTCAAGAGACAATATTTCAACATATGACTTCCAATTAAAAATTCTTTGGCTGAAGGTGGTGGTGTATGCTAAGCTGTCTAGTTGAAGCAGTTCTGCAGGATGTTAACAAACATTACATCCTGATTCACAGGGTTTTATGTAATTCTAAACATAAAGACGACAATTTTCTTACTTCAGAAAGACAACAGATACAAGAAAGACTGTTTCAATAGATAACAAATGGTACAGGCTTGTAAAAAGTGAAGTGCATAGGGTGTACTTAATTTTTTTCGCATTTTGTATATAGTATTAATATCTGAGCTCTTGGGGACCAGCTTATTTTAAGTCTTGTCCAGCTGCATGGTTTCAGGATCTCGTTTATGCTGCCAGTTTGCTTAACCCTCACCAGGGACTTTCCAAGCTGCAACACCCATGCAAGAGAGACTTCTTAAAGGGAAGGCAAAACTGTCACACTCAGAGTCTGAGCAATTACACAAGTAATTGTCTTCATCATGAGAGGTTAATCCATTTTTAAATCAGACTGAGATATGAGAAATATGTTGTTGATAACTTCTGTGACACGATATGTGTCATAAAGCACACACACCCCCACTTCCAGAACTGTGTTGTCTCACTGTTTGCCTTTATGGTAGTCAGTCTTACAGAGCAGGAATGATTATGTAGAATAGTCTTGGTGAACTGAGAAAATGCAATAGAGAAGGAACTAGATCACAGTGTTGACCCAATTTTTGCTCTAGGCTATGTCCCTGGTTGTCTATATAACTTTCACTGCATTTATGTAGCTGTCTGTGCTGTAATTTCCCAAGCCTTGTATCACTCAAACAGACATGACCTTTCATTACTTGGTAGGGGAGCTTCATGCTAGTGGTTCCATCCAAACACTATTGTAATACTTAAAAATAATTCTCTGGCCTGGAAAATATGGACTAAGTCTTGAGTGAAAACTTTTTTTCCTCCTCTTTTAATTTAATAATTTTGAAAGAGTTCTAGAGTTCTTTGTAATAATAGATTTAAAAGGTGTTTTCCAAATTTGTACTGGAATGCATCTTACCTGAAAGATCTTACTGGCTCTGGAAGATCAGCTTACATCAGAGTTGTCATTCTCTCATCCCATTCTGTTAACAATCCATTCTAGAAATGTATGTATTCATTTAAGTGAAGGGGGAGACCTGACTAATTTCTGTCTGAGTTCTTAAAATTACTATAGTGCTTCTCTGAGAAGAAGAGGGACTACTGGAATACAAAGCAAAAATTTATGTCTCCAAGAGGACAAACAGTATGGTTTGGGTTTTCTTGTATCAGTTAAAAGTGAAAACACTTCCTTATAGGAATGATTTAACTACAGTTGGTCCTTGGCATCTCCTCATCTCAGTGATGTTAAATGTCATCTACAATGTGTTCATGTCTGTTGTTTTACCACAGATAACTGGAGACTGACACATGGGCAAAGATACTCCAATTTCAAATTCTCTCATCCTGGTATGGATCGTTGCTAAAGAGGCTGAAATAGTTTTCCTGTTAGTAAAATATGGAAATTCTACTTTTACCTGCTCGAGTTGGAAGGCACGAGGAGTCATAAATGGCCAAAGTAGGAGGGGGCCAAAGCATTTTTATCGGGTTTGTTATTTTTAAAAGCATGTCCACTAGAGAGCAGCAAAAACCTGTATTCCTGGGAGCTTTGGCTGATTCAGCTGATTAGGCATTGTCTTCCCCTCTTATGGGAGGGGGAGAGGAGCTTCAGAAGGAAGTAGTGATCTGCTTTTGCAGAGGAAATCATTCTGTTGTGTGTCACAGCTGCTGGGTCTCGGCAGGAGAGGAAAAGGTAGTGGCATCGAGCAGGAACAAAAGTTTATATTGTATCAAAGTGCTCTAATTGAGAATTCTGTAGCAAAAGAGAGGTGAGAACCCAGCGAAGGAGGAAGATGCCAGTGTGTTATTTAGTCATGGTCGTAACAGTGTGTCTGTACAGGCTCCAAGATCGGGAAGATGAATAAGTTTAACAAGGTCGACCCAAAAGTAATTTTTCACTTCAGGTTGCTTGGCCTCTGTACCGTGACTAAATGTAAATATATCTCACTGAATATCTGTCTTTTGCTGTAGGCATTCAGATACATGTGTAGTTATGATGAGCTAAAAATACCATTTAAATAGAAAAAAAAAGTGTCATAGATGAAACAAGTGAGATAAAGGCATGCTTGTTAAAAAAGTTGCAAGAAAGTGTGTGAACATTTTAGGAAACTTTTCAAGGTTTTAATGGGTTAAAAATAATTCCCTCAGGTATAAATTGCCAAAGGCACAGCAACAGGAAAATAAATATTGAATGTTCTTATAGCTAAGCTCTGAATAATAACTTGCCTTGCTTCCCTGGTGGATGGGGAGTAGAGATAGGGGTGGGAAATTTCGTCTTCAAAAAGTGATGCTGTTAAGATTCACCTTCCCATGTGCCAGTTGTCACTTCACTTCCCTTCTAATTACTTTTTTTCAATAACCTTCACAGTAAACAAATTTTGCAATCCCATTTGTGGGGTTGTTCCTCCTCCTTTTTTCTGACTGGTCTGTGTGCTGGTAGTAGGGTTATCTTTCTGTCGTGGGTCCTTAAAACTTGATCAGGTCTTTTCAGTAACAGTAGAGGATGATTTGCATTTATCTGGTTTGATTCAAGACCTTGCAGGAAGGAGGTGTTTTTGGAAAATGTTTCTCAGAATCCACACTTTGAGATGACATATGTATATATTTGAGATCAAATCACCATTTATTTAAATTCATGATATACAGTGATAGAGAGGGTGTAAAATCCAAGGCAGTCCAGGTGGTTATATCAAACTCTTCAATTTAAGTCAAGTGCCAGAGTTCAGATTTGTGGGACCTTTTGCTTTGTCAGCTATTAATCCTCATGCTTTTGGTGGGGGTTTTGTATGTACCCTTAAAAGATACTTTTTTTTATGGCTCAGTACATTTTTTAGTATTTTGGTCATAAATGTTTACTGTTTTAATCTTTCTAAATTTCTTTATTTCAGTCTTTCTTTATGAATGTACCCAAGTCCTAGGCTAGCTTTTGCCCTCCATGGGTGAATAAGTGGAGGCAGAGTGTATTGATGTTTTTGTTGTTGCCACTGTACTGTTTTCTGTCTGGGTTTGGTCTGGTAAATGCAGGAAGGAATGGAGAAAGAAATTAGAAGTACTAGCCTTACTTCTCCAAGAACTTCTGCAATGCAAAGAATGAAACCTGATCATCCTAGAGATGATTAGGCTGTCATTCCTGCTTCCCTCCCCGTGCCCTCTCCTTTACTACTGCAATTGATAGCTTTAGTAAATCACGAACTTGAGTAATATAAGACAGCATTTTCCTGTGGCTGCATAAATAACAAGTCTAAACCACCACATTCTGCTTCTGTGACAGGGTGTGCTCTCAGGTCATGCAAGGTTTGGTTTTTAATGAGGATTAAACTTTTATATGCCCTTTTGGCACAAAATGGAAACCATCAAGTAATGTATAAAGTAATAATCTTGGGTAACCAGCAGCTTCGTATTTGTCACTTATAAAAGCTGTACCTGTGGTTATTGTGGGGAAAAAATGGCATTATTTGTATTTGGTTTGAAAATAGCAGAATTGCATGCTGTAGAGAATATCGTGCTGTTTAAAAGCGTGATCTTTAGTGTGAGGAACTTTAGTGTGAGGAACTTCTTTACCAGGAGGAACATCTAGGATTTCAACCTTTCTGTTTTAAATTGTGTAAGGAGAGATGACATCAGCTTTAAATTTTATTTTCTTCTGCTCATCTCCTAATTTTTTGTCTTGTAGTGTTGTCTTTTAGTGTTTTGGCTCTGTGTTTGTGTAACCAAAAAGATTACAGACCTCCTAGCATTCTGAATTTATATTTCTTTAGTCATTCAAGTTGTTTCTCAGCTGAGCACATGTACCAATACTAACATCAATGTTTTTTCTCAATACAGAATTAGAGTGTTACTGCCATCTATGTACAAAAGACAACTTCACGTGTGTGACAGATGGAGTATGTTTTGCCTCAGTAACACGAACTGCAGACAAAATAATACACAATAGTATGTGTATAGCAGAAGTTGATCTGATTCCCCGAGACAGACCGTTCGTTTGTTCCTCCTCCACCAGAGATGGAGTCTTTACTGTGCCTCATTGCTGTAACACACCTCTCTGCAATAAAATAGAACTTCCAATTCCAACACCAGGTAAGGGGGGGTTTGGGCTGGTTTTGGTTTTCCTTCATTGTTTCCAAACAGAAAATTCTGTAAGTTTCAGTTTAGAAGTTTGCAGGTAAATTTGAAGGCCTAAAGTACATCTTACGTTCTGCAGTTACAATTCCATGATATCTGAATAAGAATTGTAGTCTTCTGGGTAGGAATGTTAGGGCTGGTTTTGGAGACTTACACGCAAGTTAAATGGACAGTGTGAGTAAGCGCCTTGGGTTTGTCCTTTGTAATGCTTATTTTGTTTCTTGAAATGGTTACCGTGCAAAAGTGTTAACAAATACCTTGAAATAATTTGAATATCACTGTTGAATATTATAAATTTAGTTGCATGAAAGGAAAAGAAATAGTTTTACCATTTTCTTTTATTTTTACTGTCAGGCCCTACTCCAGGAAAAACAGCTTCTAATCTAGGACCTGTGGAACTGGCTGCTGTCATTGCTGGACCTGTCTGCTTTGTCTGCATTTCACTGATGTTGATTCTATACATTTGTCATAATCGTACTGTAATTCATCATCGTGTGCCAAGTGAAGAAGACCCTTCATTAGATCGTCCCTTTATATCAGAAGGAACTACCTTAAAGGATTTAATTTATGATATGACAACTTCAGGCTCTGGTTCAGGTAAAGGCACACTTCTAGTAGTTATTATCCTGTGTTTAAGAACCTTACAATTCATCAATTTTTTTTTTTTTAATATTGTCAAATCTACTCAAACTTATAATTAACTGGAAAAATGACTAGAAAAGCAACTTCCATGTAGATTCATTCAGTATTAATGAAGATTCAATGTATGGAAGTAAGTGAAATAAAAGAAACATTGAGTTGTTGCCACTGTTCCTTATCATTCTTAGAGTAGCGTGATGTGTATATATATGTACATGTGTGTATATATATATATATATTATATAATGCAAAGAATATCACAGTCACCTATTATAAATGTTTTTTTTTTTCCTGTAAGGCTCAGTCATTTACCTTTTTATTCTGCACAGTTTAGCTAAACTACCATCTTCTATGGCTGTTAGATAATTTCTGAAGGATTTAATTTTTTTAGCTTTAAATTGGAAGTTCATTTATAGATATAGCTATGGAGAATATTCTGAATTCTGAGTTAGTATTTTAGGCAGTTATGTTTGTTCCAGTAAGGATACAGGGAAGTAAGAGACTTAGAGAATATGGAGAGTCAGAGATTTACCTATCTTGGAATGCAGAAAGATTTGATGTATAATTGTTACACCATTAGGACCATAAAACTCTCTATTTAATGTCTGCAGATATAGACTTTTCCTAAAGAAGGCTGAAAAGAAATTCTCATTAAAATTCAAACTTGGTCGCCAGTTGGTCTTTTCATTTGTTATCAGGAATATTCCTTCATTTTCCTTCTGGCATTCTTCCCTCTGCTGCTTCTGAACCTCTCTTTTATGTTTGAAAACTCTGGAAGTACTCCTTCAAAATAAGCTCTTGAAAAGCAGTGAATCCAAGTTAGAAGAAACTTACGATTCTTCTTCTGGAGCAAATGGTTAGAAACTACTGACTGTTCCCTTGCCTATTTGCAAATTACCCTTTAAGTAAAAGCAGCATGCTAGGGAATTACTTGGCTTTCACAGCTGAATTCAGGGCACTCAGGCTGGCCTAGACTCCCAGAGCACCTGACCTACTATAGCATCTGAGCGCTGGCTACTGGTGAATGCATCAGAGGAAGAAAACCAACAAATGTGGTTGATTTTTACTTACCCCTAAGGAGACTCTTTACTAATTTGCTTTTATGCTTGAAAGAGAGTCACATTTCTTATAAAACAAGGCTGAGTGTTTCCTTAAAAGGGATCTTTTAGCTTCAGTGAGTTCCGTGTTGTTGAGCTTATTTACTGTTCTGTACATCACTGTGATTATGGCAGTGAAATAGGAGATACTTTGGGTACTTATTTTCTGTGCTGTTGGCAGTGTATATATTTGCGATGACTTGTGCCATTGTTTCAAAATTAGTCAGTCTATGACTATATAAATTCACAGTGCCCGTGCACTTGAAATGATAATTTTCTTGTGTCCTGAAGTAAGCCTGCAGCAACTGAATCTTATTGAAATGTGTGTTTTAATCCAGACACTTTGGGTACAGCACATTTAAAATTGAGAAAACTGTGCATTTATGGAATAAACTGGGGATGGAAAAGAGGGCTGCCGAAGGGAGGAAAGCCACAGCTGCTAGTTAAAACAATGCTTAACCCTGTGACAAACTGAACTGTGTGAAAGGGGTGGTGTTGGGTCAAGAGATTGCAAAAACACGACGGATATGTACAGAACAGGCAAAATAATCCAGACCTAAGAGGCACAGCTAAGGAAGTGTTTAGTCTGGTGACACAGAGGCTATGTTCTGCTCCTGAATTCATGCTGAGGCAACAGAAGAGCTCACAGTCTATAAATAAAAAAGGATTCTACCAATTTTTTTTTTATTATTTTGGTATTCTCTAATGAGAGGTGTATAAAACAGAGAAATGATCAAAACTCTAAAATTGAGCTTCCTGTTCAGATCAAAAAGGAGTTAGGATTCATTTGCTGCAATGGTGAATAGTAAGCTGCTATTAATTATTCAGTCTCGACTTACGTTAGTATTGCCCTGTTGTTCCATGACGAACAAGACCTGAAACAAGTAGATGCTTCATGAAAGAAGTGGATGAAACATCTAAAATAGATCCTTCTGCTGGAGCTACAACTTCTAAGAGAAGGATTTCAAAGTCTTTTGGAACTGAGAATGATTTTTCAGATCATGATGCAAATCTTTAAATATCAACTACATATTGTATAGACAGATGGGGATGCCCATCTGTTACTCTGTCTCACAAATGACAAAGTAACTTAGTTGCAAGGGAGTGGAAAGAATTGCCTAAAATGGGGGAAAAGCTTGGAATAATACTGGTGGGTAACCTCAATCAGGAGCTATTTAGGAATCCAGAGGGTTCCAAAAATCAATGCAAAGTTGAAGTGAATTTAAAGCTCCTTAAGAACTTCAGCAGTTCATACAAGCTTGAAGGGAAAGAGATTTTTCATTGTCCATGGGATGCTGTTTTTTTTATTTCCTTACTCTTCAGAGAATATTTTCTGGGCAGAGACTTACAAATAGGAACAAAATTCTAGCAGCTGCTCTTGTTGGCTACCTTTAATGCTTTAGAACTCAATTCCTGAATTATCCAAATTAGTTACAAACTTCTTATGCATTGGGCAGTCATTAGTCTAAACTAATTAAAGTATAGTTAAGGTATGGAAAAGAAAAAAAACTCTTTTCTTTTTGCCAGACTCTCAGAACACTTGAGGATACCTTGATACATAAAAATGATGAGGAAGGTTTCAGGAATAAATTGGATGACAATGGCTGAATACAAGGGGTCGAATCCTTCTTCACGCACAGTTAAAAGGAGCTGTATTCCAAGAGCCTGAAGGGTGGTTGTGCCCAGTGTGTATGTCAAAGGCTGAGGCTGTAGCTGTCTCGTGTGAGCTGCTTTTCAGACAGTCTGGCTTGCAGTACAGCAGATGCTCAAGTTCCTGGCGATACAGGGCTGTGTTTCCTCTATAGCAAAAGGAGGAAACTGCTCATTTGCAACAGCAAGTCTGTACTGAATTGCGATGAATGCAAGATAAATGTGGATTCTAATCTTCTGTTTTTGTGAGTTGCCAAAAACAGAAGCAAGTTGAATCTTGTAAATACTGTAAAAATAAGTATAGGAGTAAGTGGGTAGATCACAGTAGGGTTTTTATCCTATTGTGACATGTTAATGTGATGATTGAGGGGGTTGTAATGTGAAACTGAAATGCTTCATACCTGGAAGGTTTAGAGCTTAGTATCTGTTTAGAGGTTGGCTGATATCCTTGGACATTTTTTGAACAATGAGGGATGTCTATAGCAAGTTCAGAGCAGTGCATCTGAAACTGAAAATGTACAGACGGTTTTCTGATACAGCTGTAGGAAAAAAGTACTAGGCCTATCACCCATTTCAGGTACACAAAATCAGCTTGTGCTTGATAATTGCCAGTGGACTTTGCAGTAGTACATGAGTTCTAAGGAAGAAGCTTTCTATTGCCAATGAAGCCACATTTTCCATTTTCAGGATTGAGATTGGTCCTGTAGTTGTTCCAGCCTTTTCTGCATTTCAGAAGTCTGTCCATAAAGAATGCAAGTTAGGCTTCACAGAAGAGCCTTTATGGTTTGAGCATGCATCACAATTGACCTGAGGACAGCTATTACAGTAAAAGTTTTAACTTTCTCAGTAGAAATTACTGCAGTACCTGACAGTGATAAAGTCACTGGTGTGATGTGCTTTTTTTCTCCTTCCTTTCTTCATGTAGGTATGTTTTCATCACAAATCATACAGAAAATTCTTATAGGTCTACGAGTCTTGAACTCCACTGAGCACTGTGGTGGTTTAATTTGCTCTCCTCAGACTAAGATATAAGCATAGCAATGCTGCAGACCAAATCAGTTGTCCTTCTAGTGCTGTCGTTAGCCAAGAATGTCCAGAGATGGACAAGAATTAGTAATTTGAGCTATTAGTTGGGATTTATTTTCTATAACATAAGGAAATACAGGTGTTCTGTCAGCTATTGGAACAGCGATTATGGAGTAATAGATTGTAAAGTGTTTGGTTTAAGTGAAATAATCCTGTACCAAAAGAGCTTACTGTAAGCAGATAACCTGGCTGATGCATTCATCCTGCAGTGTAGTATCAATGCAGAATCCAGTGACAAGCCTTGCAGTTACAACAGAAAAGATTTAAAATGAAGAAAAACCCAGTCTGGTGAGGGATGCCAGTGCTTGTTTAAAATCACTGAAGCACGTTAAGAGGTGCTAAAAGCATGTAGATATTCCAAAGCTATAAAATCTTCATGAATGTAAACCTTTTTTTTCAAATATAATTACTGCAAGGTGCACAAGAATGGCCTGTAAAGAGGGAAGCTTCCATTACAAGGATGTTTTCCTATTTTGCAGTGACTTGGGATTACTAAGAGGCTACTGGCATACTTGGGCATGAGTGTAAGTTTTCAGCAGTACGTGTTGCTGATAAATGTGGTTTAACTTTTAACTTAGAAATGGACAGTCATATCTAGTGCTAAGTAAATTTAATCAATAGCAAAAGTGCTCTTAACCTGCTTTGCCAGGAAGGTTATGGGCAGATCCTTTTTCCAAAAATGAAGTTCAAAACCCCACAAAAACCCAAACAAACAAGCAACCAAAAAAACCCCTCAATCCTGATCCTGATTGTTTCATGGTTGTTTCTTTTTTTCATTTAAATAAAATATTATGGATCAGCAAGTGTCCACATTCTTAACTGAAAGGAAGCGTGTGTTACGTTTTTAACAATAGTAGAGGTAATTGGTAGTGTAATGTCCTAGAGTACTTGTTTTGTTGGCCTTTAAGGCTGAAGGCAGAATCCTGCCTCTGCTTGTCAGGAGTTCACTACAAGCTGAGATAATGTGCATTTGAAGAGAAATACCTTAATGGAATAGGATCTCGTGTTTAGTGTTTGGGATAAGTGCTTGTTTTGTTAGAGTGATATTTAAGGTTAATGTAAAATCCTCTTTTCAGGTTTACCTTTACTTGTGCAAAGAACGATTGCAAGAACAATAGTGCTTCAAGAAAGCATTGGTAAGGGTCGCTTCGGAGAAGTCTGGCGAGGGAAGTGGAGAGGAGAAGAAGTGGCTGTGAAGATCTTCTCTTCAAGAGAGGAACGTTCGTGGTTTCGAGAAGCAGAAATTTATCAAACAGTTATGCTACGCCATGAAAACATACTTGGATTTATAGCTGCGGACAACAAAGGTTGGTGATACCACGAATTCATTTTGTTGTGTCTGTAGCTGGTCAGAATAGACGGTACATGAAGGGCAAGGTAAAGCTGTGAGGATCCCCTTTAAGAGTAGAAAAAAATGATTTTGTTACTAGAGCATTTCAGGGTTTGTGCAGGCTTTTCATAGGTTTAGTGAAGGAAAAGAGTGCATTGTCTCTTTGCTGGAAAACATGCTTTCTTTACATGTGTTTAAAATGCTTTGGTATCAAAAAGGAGATGGCTTATCCTGTGAGCTCACATATCTGTTGAATACTTGTACCTGTAATTACCTAATAACCTAATAATATAAATGCTTGGAACCAAAAGAGATCTTGAGATCTTGTCTAATCTCGTTGTCCTGATATAAGGTAGGAGGTAGAAGATTTATTTTTAAGGCTGAGTTATGAGAAGTTATTCTTTCAAACCTCCAGTTAAAAAATAATATGGAAAAATGGAATTAATGATTTTATTCTTAGCAGTAAAAAACTATACCTGCTTCATGGAGTTCTCCTAATAAGTCTTTAAATATCCACTAAGAGGAACAGTTTAAACATTTTTTCATCTTGATTTGTTGTGGTTACAGTAGATTAAAGTTTCTTGGATTTTCCTGCAGTCCAGCTTAAGATGCAAGAGTATGGCAAAACCTAAACAAGTTTTGAATTTCTTACCTTAAGGGGAGCTAAGATATTACGCTGTTTCATTGAGTTCCTATCAGCTGAAACTGCATGTTTCACCACAAATGGCCTTTGAATTTTTTGCAAAGAAAGCATTAATAGAAAATTCTGTCACCTTAAAGAGGAGTCAAGAATTCACACACATGCTGAATTCTTAAAGGGCTCTCATTTTGTGGGAAATTCCTAAATAATTTTAGTGTTGTTGAAGTATACATGTAAATAGAGGGGTTTTTTAATTACCCCTACATTCATTTCAAATTTCTATATCCATATAAATCTGTAGAATTGGGACAGAATCCAAGAGATTATGTGGAACACTTCTCCAAGAAAGGGTTACCTGCAGTTAACTTGCCCCTAACAGATATTTGTGCAACTTGTTATCCTCCAAGAGGAGGATCTACACCATACCAGCCAACTTCTTCCTGCAGCTTATTATGCTTACCATTAGAAACTGTCTTATTTTCATGCTTAAAATTGTCTTGGCTATTAATAGTACCTGCAAGAACTTGAGTTTTTTTCTGGTGGACCTACTGGAGTATCTGGAGCCTGGGTTTAAAATTAGATTAGTTGCATTAAAACCACAAATGAAAAGCCATTGCTGCAGAAGCTTCAGCTTCCGTGTGTCACTTAAAAGCATCGAGGATGTATTACGATACCTTGGCTGTAACTTGTAGCAAAATCCATCAGTTAAACATACTGGTCTCTCATTTTGCCCAAAACCCTCAGGTAGTTTGTCCCAAAAATACACTTGACTTCTCTGCAGAGGAGGTATGAGGAAGGCTTCTTAAATGGTTAGCTTTCAAAAATAATTTCTTGATTACTGCTTCGGGTTCCAGATGAAATAGCGGGAAGTTCCATTTGACTTGATCATCATTAGGTTCCTTATAATATAATGTGATATGAAATTGTTTCTGGTTTCTACTGTTAATATGCTTTACATACAAAGAAGAAATCCTAAGTTGATAGCTCATGCCATTATTGGAGTCTTTAGGGCTTCAGGGCAAGGGTCTTCTATTTTCTTGAGAACTAGTTGGTGACTGATTTACGAAAAACGGATAAAAACATGTTTTGAAAATGCTGCTATTCTTGACTTTTTTCTAACAGTACTGCCGTCTGAGCAGATGTAGAAAGCTGGGTTATTTTCAACCCATCAATGCAGAATTAATTCTCAGTGTAACCTTCTACATTCTCTCAGTGAGGAAAGATGCACATGCCATTCTCTCTCTGGGTTAAAAATTCAATCCTGAATATTGAAGGAGGTAAATACTTAACTCTTGCTTAGAATATTTCAGGCCCCCTATATCCCATTAAATGGGAGAACCTCGAGGGACACTTATGGGAGTAGTTCTTTCGGTTTAGCAGGTATACTGTCATGGTACTCTGAAAGGAGCAGGTATATCACAAATTTGCCAATAGACACCAAAGGCTTAAGAACGCCTGTTAACAGCCTTTCACTGTAGATGCTGGTACTAACTGATAAATACTAGGTGCTGGGTGCAAGATGAAGTATTCTTTCACAGCGATAATGTCTGTGAAGGATTTGCATCCATTTCTCTGTAGGGCAAACTGCTGAATACATGCAGGAGTTACTACAGCCTAGCTGGAATGCACAAAGTCATTAGACTACAAGCTATAACTGCACGTCTGAGACGCTGCAAACATGACTGCAAGAGATACAGCAGTACAAGGATTTTTAAAATTGGGAAAGGACTAGTGCAGCGGAGCTTTGCAACAAAGCCATGCTGCATTTCTTCCTACTATTAAATGCATTAATTAGGTCTTTCCTCTTACTGCAACTGCATGTTTTTCACAACTGCAGGGGAACATCTGTCTGGCCATTGTAGTGTACAGTTGCTGGAAGAGGTTCCTTTGGATAGGAGGGTGTGTGTATAGATTAGAGCTCGTGACTGTCTTCACCTCTTGTTCTACTACACCATATAGACAGTCCTCATGCCTTAACAGCACATTCTCTTCCTCTGCTTCCCCCAGAGCTGCATGTTCAGAAGGCTGCAGGAGCTGGTCCAATCTGTCTGCTTCCCATCCCTTAATTTACAGGGAAATACATGCTGCTATTAAGCCAGCTTGAGAGCTGAGAAGCAATGAATGATTGTAACTGCAGTTGTGTTCTGTCTGACAAGTATTTGTGTTGTGGGTAGCTCTGTGCTTAGCCACAAGTGTACACTAACTTTCAAACACTGCTAGGCCAGGGAAATTACTTTCAGGGGCATGTGTTGTCTTGTTATGAACCACCTAAACACACAGTTTGCTTTTTGTGGGTTTTTTTTTGTTTTGCTCTCTCGAACCTAGATACTTAAAGTGTATCAGGGAGTACTTATCTGTGCTATTCTGCTAATGAAGGAGTAGTGACAGCAACCTTGGTTTACAGTACTAAAAGTTTCTCTGGATGAGCTGTCTGTAACCATAACTGGGTAGTCATGTTACAAGTAAGGTGAAATCTTGTCCTGAGTGCTTTCAGATAACTTTATGCACCAAAATACTTTGACCTCCCTTCCGCTTAACTGAAAGCTGCACTTCCCTTGGTGGAAGTTCTGTTCAGAGTACCTTTCACGGTAAGCACATCCCCAGGAGTGATGTTAAGCAAAACACGCTGCACAGAAATGAGCACAATTCCTTCCTCTTGAAGAAAAGTAATATTTGAGCCGTTTATTCTTTTTGAAGCTTTGGCTTTAGCCTGAGGAGAAGGAATTTGACTGGAAGATCTTGCTAATCTGTATGGCTCAAGTGCTTTTCATCAATTTAATCAGAGGACTATCTCAATGTAATAGAGTCAAGCTGTTTTGTGAACAAAACACCAATCATCCTTCAGTCACTAACATCTCCCTGAATATCTCATTTCTGACAGCTTTCTCGTTACAGATTCCATCTGAATCTTATATTTTCACTGCTTTTTCATGTTGGGGTATTTTTTTGTCTATGTTACATTATCTCCATGCCAAAAAAGGCTAAGTCTGTGCTTTAAAACACTTGACACGTGACATGACACTACTGAACACATACAGTTAGGCAGTTTCTGTAACGTCTGTATGTTCAACTTGTAACGTGTTTGAAAACCTGTACCAAGCTTGTACCAGGCAATACTGTCACATATTAAAACCTAGAATTTTATTTAAAAAACAAACATGTACCACATCAGAATTTTTGCTTTGCTAATGCCAGTGTGAAAGAAGCAGTTTCCATTTACGTGAATTCAGTCAATTGAATTTTAATTGAAACTTGATTATATATTTGATAAAGCAATTGTTATAAATTCCTCTTTTCAAGAATCAGCCTGAGCTTGCTTGGATGTCACTAAGGTTTTTCTCAAACTGTAATCAGTTTTCTAACAACAAGTTTGAAAGCTTCTATACTCAGAATTTCAATTTTTTTTAATTTTTTTTTATAGAATTGCAAAAGGAAAACCTTTTACCTCTGAGTGATTTTGGTGGTCTAAGATACTTCGAGGTCTCTTGCAAATAGATGCAATAACCGTAATTAGTCTCTTAAATATATTTCTAATAACATACATTTATTTTTTTTGTAATTTTTGTGAACATTCTGAAATTGCTTGGGATTCCTGATCGTTGTGTGAATGTAAACCAAATTAGATTACCTTATCATACAAGACTATGCTACTGTATGTAATTACAACTGAGTGTAATTACTTTTTCTTACCTGATAAGGCAAATCCTGTGATTGAAAGCTTCATGACAGATGCTGTTTACTCTGCAGCCAGAAATACTCAGGGTCAGGTTAATTATTACTTGGTAATAATTAACTACTGTCAGCAGTATAAGAAGACTTAAGTTTATCATAATGTGTTCCACTTAGTGTGCTAAAAAATTGTATAACTTGTCAAATACAGCAAGGCAAGGAGAACATAGTAGGTCCCCTCTGATAGCTGGACACTGGACCTACTGCTGCATTCCAGCTTGTCTGTAATTAATATTCATGTAAGCTTGGATGCAACTCTGTCTCTTATTAAAATCTGGTTGAAGGGCCACAAACACAACATGTGATAGGAAAAAGTCGTGGCTCCTTTCAGAATGGATACTAAGCCCAGCTTTATATTTTCTTCTTTGGAAGGAATGTAAAAACTGAATATTAAGGCTTGCAGGTGATAAGTAAGATAAAACTGAAGTAGAAGTCTAATCAGCAGCATATTCTCCTCTTAGGTGGGCGTGTAGAGTTATGAGGGGGGAACTTTATGCAAAGGCACCCTAGTCTTGATTCAGAGCAGTGATAATTATTCAAGAACTGACGTCTTTTAAAGAGCTTATATAAACACAACAGATCTGGTAGATTAATTAAAATTAGTTTAATTTCTCTACTTTTTGTTGTCTAGTTTAGACACCTGCTGAGGTCTCCCATTCCTAAGAAAGAGGAGAAGAAATCGAGTATAGGACCAAGTAATGAGTGTGCAATGCCCAGGAGAGCATTATTTCAGGCGGTGTAGGGTCATAAGTGATGAAACAGTAGGATAAAACAGTGAAGAGAATATTCTGAAGGGATTCAGTTAGTTTACTTTGAACTTTTGCAGCTCTTAGGAGCTCTTGGATTATATGCATTTGAGAGTATCTCTTCTGTGCCTGTGGACTCATACCTGATTCTAATGGGTCTATAAGATTGATTTAGTGAAGCTGATACTGTTGGACTGACTTTTCAGAGACCATAATTCTCCTTGGGAAAAGTCACATTTACTACTATGCTGAGTTAAATGAGTTCATGCTTGGATATTGCAAAGTAGCAAGAGAAGGAGCGGTTCTATTTAGAAAATAATGGAAGCTATTTTAAAAAATAATCTTTAATTTCCTTATTCTTTGTTAAAAATGCAAAACTTGGGCATCCCTTCTGTACCCAAATCCGGGCATATTATAAGACTCTTCCTGCTGCAATAGCAGCTTTCTAACAGCCCTTTAAAGGTTAGAGCATGTGACTGCTTTCTTTTGCCTGTTTAAATTAGCAACTTATTATTATTATTTTATTTATTATTATTATATTTATATATCATTATATTTATTATTATTTACTAACTTCTTATTAACAACTATTCTCTAGCAAGCCAGAATTCTCTTTCCATTATGGGAATTGTTTGAATGTGGATTAGTCTTTTATTTCCCTACGCTGAAGTATTTGGAGGCCTTTTATTTTATTTTTCGATTACTTTTAGTGGTGTCGCTGGCCTCTCTAGGAATATCCAAGGAAAAGACAAGGTTGCAAGTTTTCCCATTGCCACTGAAGTGTTTATTAGAGATAAGCACAAGTGCTTCCATGAAGGTAGTTTCTGTCAATCTGTAGATCAGGCATTTTGTGCCTCTGGCTTTCCTGGGGCAAGTGTGTTCTTTTGAAACTAAAAATTTTTCAGTATATTTATGATGGGAACTAACTCCTAACTCCTGAATTTACTTTTCTGACTCATGTTCTTTGTATTTAGTTCCTGGAGTAATCCTTAGGGACTAATACACAATGAGACACCTTACTGACTTCTGCTGAGTGTTCTCACTTGTTCTGAGTACACAGGGGGCTGTATAATTCAGGATAGAAGTCCAGATGAAATCTTTTACGGGATGATGAAAGATTCTTCTTCAAAAGTTGCTAGCTGTAAAAACACTTCTCAGGTTTGCCACTGGAGAGTTGCTTTCATAACAAAACCAAATTGGAAAACCTTCTCTGGGTGTATTTTTACTTCTTAGGTAAAAAAACCTTTTGCACCCCTCTTTGATTTGGATTGCTTAATAGTCTTCTCTGTGTGGCTTAAACGTCAAAGTGTTTTGTGTCCACTACTTAAACAATGTGAACGATAAGAACTAAGTTCTTCTCTCTCGTTTATATGCCCTGGAATACCTACACATGTATTATGGCCTGTCTTGTTTTTCACAGTTCAGCGAAAAGTCATGCTGGTTTTCTCGGTGTTTTTCTTTACTCTTGTGCCTCCTGGAAATCTCAATTATTGCCAGCAATTGAGAGGTCACTAGAGGTGGGATTTAACTTTTTTCTTGAAGTCATGTGTCCAGTTGCTGCCTGTAAGCTTCTACTCTAGGAAGAAAAATCCACCAGCTGCTGGTAACTGTGGAAATTGTCTCCCAGGTTGAGGGCACAGTATGGGAAGACTGAAGGAATTAGGGAGCTTAGCTTAAAACACTTTTTTTTTTTTTTTTTTTTTTTTAATTAATGGTTAGCCTGGACAATATTGTACTAGACTGATGGTGACAGGATCAGTTTTATGTTTTGCATTCAGCATGGTTCCCTGCCTCCCCACACTCCAGCAGAAAAGTTAGGGAATGGCAGGGCCTGGCTAATAACCTGAATAGTTCACTCTGAATATTCACCTCAGAATTATGGTCACATGAGTTTTCCATGGTTTGTCTTCTAGTTTAAATAAAAGAATACTTACTAAGCTATTCAGAATGCCTCCCATGATATTTGCAGCCCTTACAGAGGTGTTTAAATTCTACAGGGATAGAAGTAAAGATTTAAGAGTCTAACTTGCCGAATTTACTTGCAAAACATAATTTCTACTTCATAAGCATTGTATAAAAGTAGAATATGTGGTCTACTTGTCTTTTGTGTGTGTACGTGTTATTCATGCCGGTGTTATTTTGCAGACAATGGCACATGGACTCAGCTGTGGTTGGTGTCAGACTATCACGAGCATGGATCACTCTTTGATTACCTGAACAGGTATACAGTAACAGTGGAAGGAATGATAAAATTAGCTTTGTCCACTGCCAGTGGTCTTGCTCATCTGCACATGGAAATTGTTGGTACACAAGGTAATCTTACAATTCTTCAGTTTGTCACATGGATAATACTGGTTGGTTTTCTGGGTTTGTTTTTTTTTTTTTAATGACATATCAGTAGTTCATTCTACTATGTGATAATTTCTAATTAATAGAACTTAATTTGGAAGGCTTTTTGTCTTCGTTTCTATGGCATTGTGATGTAGCAATCATTCCTCCAAAACATCCATTAAAAGGCACCAACTAATGGTGCATGTAGTATCTTTTTAACTTCGAGTTGAGACAGCACTAAGGGTCTATTTCCAGAAATGTTAGAATTTTTTTTTATGGGAAATAATATGTGTGTGCTATAAATATTTGCAGGAATAGGGAAAGGAGCAGTAGAGAGGTGTGATGGTAACATGAGGCACTTTCCTGAACAGCCAGACAATCCACAATGAAATATTTCAGGAGTTACCTTGATGCATGTAAAGTGTCAGAACTGGAAGGAGTTCTGTAACTTCAAACAAAATTTGCACCAGAATTAGAATAAAAGCAGTTTGATTTTTTCTTTTTTTTTTCTTTTTTTTTCCTTTTTTTTTCTGTTTGTTTGTTTGTTTTTTAATACAGATATGTTATTTCTATTTTTTCCCTTCCAGGCAAACCAGCGATAGCCCACAGAGATTTGAAGTCAAAAAATATATTGGTGAAGAAGAATGGAACGTGCTGCATTGCAGACCTGGGATTGGCAGTTAGACACGATTCAGCTACAGACACAATTGACATTGCCCCAAACCACAGAGTGGGAACAAAAAGGTAAAATCATTCACGTGATGTGTCAGGCAACTTCTGTAATAAAATGCTTTGTTTTTTCTTGTCCCATATAGCAGCAGGGAAATGTAATGGCAGATATAATCAGACAGTAAGAACTTTAAAGAATGTTAATTGCTGATACGTGTAAAATATTGAAAACTTGCAAAATACTGTAGGTATAAGTATGTATTAAAACAGTTAAGAGACTTCATGACTAATGGTGTTAGAGACTCCAGTGCTTTATTCTTGCCTTGTGTCGCATGAAAATGTTACTTGCAGCCCAGTCAAGCAGGAGTGTAAGATAGGATATTAACAAATGAAAGTAGAAAGCTGGGTTTCTTCAGGGTGAAGCCTATTTGGTAGAACATAAAAGGTGCAGAGTCTTGGACATGTTCTTTCTTGGAACCACATTTTTGAGAGAAATACAAGGACTTAAAACAGCAGTCCTCTTTGTCATCTAATGCATAGATAGAATCATCAGTGGATGAGTCAATATATTTTCTTTTAAAAGACTACTTTTGCATTTGGAAAAATTTCTCTTGCCCTTAAAAGAATTTGAAGCTGTTTAATCCCATCAGCAAACTGCAAATTAATTTACTGACTGTAATTTATCATTGCTGAACCTTCAGTCAATAATAACTGGAAGCTGTTCTGAGGAGCAGATAAATTTCCTTTAGTAAGCTGTACAGCTACACAGCATACAGAGATGGCAGCGCTAAGAGTGAACCGTAACAGCCAATGGGGATGTGGGGAACTTTTTGTTCCCTTGATGCCTAAAGGTTCAGTGGTATGACAAACTGACGTTTGGACACTGGTCGTGGAGAAATGTGTGACAAGCCAAGCCCATGTGCCTTAGCAGTGTTAGAGAAAATTCTGTGTTGATGTTGGCCAATGTCCAGTCCACGCATAAGAAATACTTTTGTTATATATCTCTAGAGGTGGCAATACTGCAGGGGAGGGGTGTGATGGGCATTTTATTGTGAACTAGGATGCCCCTTGAACTGTGTCTTTGGAAGGAAAAAACCCCGAAACATTATTTTAAGGCCCGGTCAACTAAAGCTTTTAGAACATGTGCTGAAAATTTCTTTTTCTGACAGTTACATTGCTGAAGTTACTTTTTGCTAAAGCTCTGCTGTACTAGTCCTTTGCCAGCTTTAAAATTACCACACAAATGGTCAGATAGGATTTATTTTCTGAGCTACTGCTACATTACAAGGTACTGGGCATTATTCCTTCTCAGAGTCTCTAGTAATCATTGGTAGTGAAACAGCAGGCTTACTTTGGAATTTGTCATTGCAAACTTTGCTGCGTGCAGGGCACATACCATGTGTGATTTTGTCTTTTTTACTACACCTACGTGCCAAGAAAAACAATGTACAAATCGATTAGTCTAGTTAGTTAGTACAAATCTCTTTAGTCATTGAAGAAAGAATCGTTTCAGCTGCGTCTGTAGATCCCACTTACCAGATCTCTTCTTGCACAGGCATTATTAAATTGCTTGTTCATCTGCCTTATGCTTCTTCTCAAGGGTAAAGCTGTAGCAACTCTTGCTTACTGCAGTGGGCACCAGCAGGACTAATCTGTTTCCCATTTAAAAGACATTTGTCATTTCTACCTCTCTGAAAATTGCTCATTCTTGTAAAAGTCTTGGTCCCCTCTTCCTCCTTCTTGTGCATTCTTAGGTAAGTAACTCTGCACCTCTGATTAATTTTTCATAGTACAGGTCAAGTCTACCTGTTCAGTGGCAGTTTTAGCTCCCGTTGATTGCCACTGCTGGAAGCTCTTCTGCACATGGAAGCTCCGTGTGCAAGTTCAGGGGGATTTGACAAAGTTTATATTTTTCTAATTGTTATAAAAATGTATGGTCTAGGGAGCAAGCAAACTCACTCTTGGGTGAGTGATTGAGGTGCTGAGTCAAACTAACGATCCTTCTCTTCTGGCTTTATTTCTTTCGTGCTCAGAGGCTTAGCTTTACCAGAGGGTGTGAACTGTGTGCTTTCATAGCTCAGCCTGCAGCTTTCATAGCTCAGCCTGCAGCTTTCATAGCTCAGCCTGCAGCGGAAAGCAGGGAACATGAGCTTTAAACTGAGAACGAAATAGATCCCTCTCTCGCTCCCTGAGGCAAGTAAAAAAACTCTCCTTCTCGTTCTCTTTTTATTTCTTTTAGAAGTGTGGCCCAGCTGTTACTTTTGGTAGTTCAAATAGGCTGTTGTTAAAAGAAGTTTGGCAGCAAATTCTTCCTTTACATGGCTGCTTCTCTGAAGTTTACCTGAACCAAATATGAGCAGAATGCTACCTTGTCAGTATAGGCTTAATGAAGATGTCACACTCAGTATCATTGTGTATGGGTCCTGTTTGATGACACCAAGCTCCCTCTATGTTGCACAGGAAATTTAGGCAATTAATCCTAAGCCCTTGGACCAAAAGGAATGGGAGAAGGAGGTCAGCAGGCACCCAGAGTTTGGCAAGACCATGCTCAACATAATTTGTAGACTTGTGCTTTCACTCTTGGGTGATACTGAGCTGCAAACCTTGTTCAGAAGGTCAGAGTTAGTCTGTGTGGAGTAGCTCTCTCCAGAAGCTAAAATACCGTTTCTGGCAAGCATTGCATTTCCAGTGCGTGAGCTCCAAGGAGATGCCTGCTTCTCTCCCTTTTGTCTAACAGCCACGAACGGCTCATCTGCTAACCTCGCTTAGGTGACCTCCTTGCCTTTCACCTCTCCTTTCAGCAATGATCTCTCAGACTTTTTGGGCAGTCAGTCACCATTCAGTGTTATGGAAGCCAAAACCAATCTAAATGCATTGATGGAGGATCATGGTAAGAGGTCACTTTGCCAATAAATTCAATGGAAGTCACATTGCGGGGAGGGAGGGAGGGATTTTTTGCCACATTCAGGCCTCTTATGGTCTTACATGTTTAAACCCTTGTCCTTAGGATGATTTACAAAAGCTGAGACAATCTCCTTCATTGCTTGTTGAAGTGATTCTGGCTGACCTCTTGCACCGTGGTTGGGGGTTTTGGTTTGGTGTTTCTTAAGGTCCATCAGTCTTCTTATCCCCGTGTGATCTAAAGATAGATCAAATATGCTTTGTGCTAAGTTCCAAGCTGATTACTATACTGTCGAGCACATGAAGTAGCACAAAAGTATCCAGTAATGCAAAATCCTTGGAGAGCATTGAAACACTCACCACAGTCTTGCATTCTTGATTGAAATGTTTTCGATATGGTGGACCAGAACAATTTGAGCCTCGTCCATGTTAAAACTTGTGACATGTAAACTTAACTTGACTCAACTTCCATTCAATAATTGCCGTCGAAGTAAACCTTACATTCCACTTTAGACAGTTGTCCTCTGCTTTGTGCTGTGTTTATCAATTGTGAGGAATTGATATGCCTTAGAAGAACTCTCATGTCAGCAAACCTTGTTCTGGGTAGTAAGAACAGATGCAGCTACTGGTTGTGGTGTTGCTCCTTTTTTTGATAGCCCTTGCTTCCTTGTGTCCTCGTAATTTCCGTAATACACAGTAGTTGCTGAGAGAGTTCTAAAGGGTGTGATAATCCTGACATTTATTTTAAGTAGTGTGTCTTGTATTCTGTGTACCATCCATGGTGCTGGAAAAGAAAGAAAACCCCCTAGCATTATGTGATGAAATGAAATCGTGCCTAGGCCTCTGTGGCTGTTCTAGGCACTGTATTCTACTCCAGTGATCTATACATGTTGCTTTATTACCAGTCAACAGTGCTCTCCAAAGCCCTGGTGCCATTCTTTGCATGCTTCTTTAATGTCAGCCTGAGACTGATGGGGCAGTGATGTGGAGGAACACTCTGAACTCTGCTAAACATTACATACTGGATTTAGCTGCCAGAGCCGCACCAGAATGATAGAGCAAATACCACAACTGATGTTGATTTGATGCAGCAAATACCATTCATTCTTTGCATCAGCCAGTGAGGATGCTGCTGTCAGTAGCTCTCACAGTAAGGTCCACATTGACATTTTTGCTAACATTTTGCCTGACGTTCTCGCATAAGGCTTAGTCACTAAACAAGGTAACAATCGCTTGGATGCCATGACCAGTTTTCAGTCCTCGTTTCTCAGTTGAAAATTAGTCACAGATTTTTTTTTTTTTTTTTTTGGGGGGGGGGGGGGGAATGTGGATAAAGTAAGCTTGTGAGCATTGTGAGCACTTCTTAAAGTGTAACCCAAATAGCATTTACTATTATGATGAAGAATGAGCTACTGCAATGGTAGGGAGCCTTTGTTCTCAAGGAGTTTTTAACACTGCTGTTTTTTTAACCAGGACTTCACACGTATCCCTCTCTAGTCTTGTTAGGGGATGTTTTAAGTGGCTGCTATAACTTGTCAGATTCCAGGAACTGGGGCTTCCTCCTGCCTGCCCTCTGGAGCTCAGCTGGTGTGTCCTGGAGGGCTGGGGCTCTGTTCATCTGAGGCCCGTGGATGCGGCTGCTGCTTTCTTTCTTGGTATTCAACCAGTCATACACACACATACACAATACTGACGGGGCTGATTACACAGATTGCTATGCACCATGTGCTGTGTTCAACACCCACATAAAACACTGTCAGAACTTGTATAAAACATAAGTATAGACAGCCAAGTCTCCTTCCTTATCTTCAGCTGATCAGGACTGAACTTCGTTACTGAAAAGCACACACTCCCTTCTGCAGCCTCACAGGTCCCTGCGTGTTTATGAATCCCTCAACCATTCATACAGCACTCTGTGTCTAATGCTCTCTTTGGTGCTCTGTGGGTCTCCTCCTCACCAGCTGGATTAGTTCACAGTAGCAAACAGATGATGTAGTCATATGCACCCTACATGCGTGGATACCCTCAAATACCAGTGTGGGCCCTCCTCCTGTCAAACATCCCTGCCTAGGCCACCTCGTTGCTGGCCTAGACCAGCTTGAAGTTTGCTAGAGAATTCCAGCCATGCACACCATCCGTGTATACCAGGTTTGGGGAAATGCAAACCACCTGGCCCACTCTAGCAGTGGCACCCAGGCACAGAAGACCTGTGACTCCCACTCCAGTTGTTGGTGCTGGGAGACCTGTACTCTGCTTTTCTTATCCCCAGTCTCTCCTGTAGCTGGTTCATGTAGGGTGTAACTGTGAAGCCTCTGACCCATGGTCTCATTTCAGGGGGACTGAAGCAGAGACCCTCATTTACTCCAGTTGCTGGCACCAGAGATTCCTTCACCTGCTGTCTGACTGCAGTTGCTCACCTAGAATTTATTCACACTGGTCCTCCCACAGTTGCTCCAGATATTTGGTCTTAACACCTGCTGACCTGTGCTTCTAGGATCTGCGTTTCCCGTTTCAGCTGCTGATGTTGAGACCCTCCTTTTCTCTAGTTGCTTGTGACCCCAGGCCTGAGGGCAACTTCATCCCTTGTCCCACTCCAAATGCTAGACCTGAATTCACTCATACCTGCCTCCAGTTGCATACATATAGTTCTTAAAAAGCATGTGCACATGGGGTTGACAGTGAGATTACACAGAAAACCAGGTTTTAATAAAATAGGGTGCACTGGCAAGCACGTGCAGACTGGCAACCTTTTGTGCAACTGACCCCTTTTGCTACCCTTTTCTATCTGTTGCCCCACTTCTGTTCCCTTTCTCCTAAACATTCCTTAATAAGCATTGCATAGTCCCACAGGCCTCCCTTTGAATATCCACAGTCCTGGTGTTCCTCTTGTTTTCTGTTTATTAGCATTCACAGTGTCCAGACTGGGCCTCCCTAAAGCTATGCATTTCTTGGTAGCCTATCCATTAGCAACTGGAGACTTCTGGTCTTTGTTATTGTCTCTGTTATCCCTTGTCTGTCAGGTTTATGGCTCTACTTGTTTATAATTTTGCATTTACTTTTTCCCCCCATTTCTTTGCTTGTTCCTCTCAGTTTAATTATCCGCTTTGCACTGAAAGGTCTGTGATTGGATAACCTTAATGAAGCAGATTTTCTTTTGTCCTCTTTTCCACACAAATATTTTAATTTGGTTTTGAGCTGATCAGTAGTAGTGAACTTCCTCTGCTCTAAGTGTTCATGATTTTTTTTTTTTTTTTTTTTATTGCAAACAGGTACATGGCTCCTGAAGTTCTAGATGATTCCATAAATATGAAACATTTTGAGTCATTCAAACGAGCAGACATCTATGCAATGGGATTAGTCTTTTGGGAAATTGCTCGGCGATGTTCAATTGGTGGTACGTGGCAATCTTTACAAAATTGTGCATCTAAGAAATTTTAAGTAAGGTACTCAAACTTATTTAGATTCTGAAAACAGTTTGCTCTAAAAGTGGTGCAAGGTAATAGCCAGTATGTCTCAGACTTTCTAGTTGTTAATCCTGTAAATGATGACTGATCTACTCAACCTCATTTAAATTGAGGAACCACACCTGTTGAAGAAAATAGGAAATATTTGTGTCTTTTTTTTTCCCCCTAAAACTTCATCTAGAGTGGAGAAAAGGGTGAAGTTAAATGTTCTGTGAGCAAGGGGCAAACACCACAAGTAGGAGCTAGCTAAAATGTGCTCAGATAACATCTATACCTTATTTAAAATGAGGCATGCTGTTATTAATTATATGCTCTGAAGAAGCATATAATTAATAGCATAGCATATGAAAGCATATGAAAGATTTGACAGAGCTTATATCTCTTCCATGTTTATAAATTTTAAATTCTTCAACGCTAATGTAAATGCTCCCAAGATATGGTTAAGGATTTTTTTTTATTATTATTGTTTATTTATTTGTCAGTCATTGTAATGTAACTTTTAAAAATAAAAACCAAAAACTGGTAGGGTACTAATAAGGAAGACAGCAAAAAATGGAGAATATGTCATCTAGTGTCAGCTAAAATAAAGCCGTTTTCAACCTATTACAGGAATCCATGAAGATTACCAGTTGCCATACTATGACCTCGTTCCTTCAGATCCTTCTGTTGAAGAAATGAGGAAAGTTGTGTGTGAGCAGAAGTTAAGGCCCAATATTCCAAACAGATGGCAGAGTTGTGAGGTATTAACTAACCTTGTTAAAGCTGCTTTAGTGGACACCAGAGCTTTTAGTGATTTTAGTGGCTTAAAAACTGTGCTTGTTTTTGAAGGGAGAAGGGCTGCTTCTAGGAGAACTTAATTAATTTCGTTCTGATCATTGTGGCTTTGTTAAATGTCATTGTTCCTTGGTTATACACTAGTATTTAAATGTATTTTCATAAAAACTAATAGCTAGCCCTGAATGCAGGGATTCTAGGATCCCTTCCTGTGAAGCATAGGTGATGCCATTTAGATTAGAGCTAGTCTGAAATACATTATACAAAAAGCATCGTTGCAAATAAATTTTGCAGTGGGGAGTTGTACTGTGTCTAGGTGGAACTGAGTTAACTTCCCTCCAAGCAGCCTGTACGGTGCAGCGTTCTGGATCTGTGACCAAAAGAGTTGGACAGCACACTGACGTTTTAGCTATTGCTGATCAACACACAGCTTCGAGGCATTCTCCATTTCTCATGTGGGTCGGGGGTGGACAGGAGCGTGAGAAGGAACACATTTGGGACAGCTGACTCAAATTGGTCAGAGGTAATATTCCATACCATTGCCCTGGGAACCCAGCTAGGGCTACAGCCAGTGCTTTCTGATTCACAGCTTAGCAGAGCAGCTGTGGTAGGCTCCAGAAGGAGTAAGGGATTGATAAGATACGATGCACATGAGATAGAAGAAGGAACTAGGTTGTGGCATGTGTGAAATGAATGCATGGGTGAAGGCCTGAGAGAAGAGATTTGGGAAGAGAATACAAGAAGGAGAGAAAGGTGATGCTATGCACTAGCAAGCTGTGGAGCCTTTTTTTTTTAAATGATGGCGCTTCAATCCTGATAACTTCCTATCAGTGTAATACAGTTTTCGGTGTAAAATTTTGGAACATCTTCAGTTTTTGTGGTTTGCTTTGTGAATGCTACTACACAAGTAACAGACTTCAAAGTATGGCTGTTTAAAGGATACAACTACTCCAAAAATTTTCAGTCTCCTTACAGAGCTTCATTTTGAGGAAGACAGCTGATACATTTCTTAATTGCTTTATATTGAACTAACTCCTTAACACAATACAATAAAAAGAGGCTATTTTTGTCTAATGTGAAAGTTCAGAAAACAGTTACAGACAAGCTACTAATTTTTCATTAAAACGTTTTTTCGTGGGCCAAAAGCCTGCTGTAAATTACTGGACTTGCACTAGAGTATTGAGAGAGTTTTGGTTTTCTGTAAATAAAGTAAGAATTTGATTTTTTTTTTTTTTCCGGACAGCACACTCTTCCACGCAGCTGTAGTACTGGTAGCAGACTTCAAAAACACGTGAAGAGGCTAAGGCAGGCCAGCGTTTCCGTGGTCTGCATGGGAACAGCAGGACATATAACGACTTGTCTTTCCTTTGCAGGCATTGCGAGTAATGGCCAAAATTATGCGGGAATGCTGGTACGCCAACGGAGCTGCCAGGCTGACAGCTCTGCGCATTAAGAAAACATTATCACAACTCAGTCAACAGGAGGGGATAAAGATGTAATCCTGGATTTGCTACCGAGGAACACTGTAAAAATCCCTATCTGCACCAGAGCGGCGTGTTAAGATGGTTAATTGTTCTACCTCACTGGGGGAACAGAAGGATATTGCTGCCTTTTAGTACTTCATAGGAACGTCACATGTTAGTATTTTTGTGGATGTGCTAAACAGTTGTGTTGGGTCCTTTCTGTGCACTATGAACCTCTTTCCCAGGTTACTTACAAAACATCGTATATTCTCGTTTTATTAACTTGTAATTTTTTTATTTGGAAAGCTGATAGCTGGTTTTTACTAGTTAACTGTGCTAAAAGTAGGAGGTCACTACTAAAATGGAACTGGTTCACCATATTGTTCTAAAGTGCATTGATGATTCTTCAGGCAACTTCATTCCTGGCTGGTACATTGACTATTCTGAACCACTGTCTCAATTCCTTGATTCAGATTGTGAATGTACACTCGGAGTATACTTTGCTTGCTATTAAGGTAGTGTATCTTTTGGACTCTGACCTTGACTTACAAATTGACCTCATTCAGTTGTGGGAACATAACTTATGCAACTATACTTTATACACGATTACTGGGTTTTTTCCACTTTTTCAGAACATTACATTGCCTTCAAAATAGATTGTATCACACCAGTAAGTGCCACTTTTGAGTCTTTTAATGCAAAGCAGTAGGAACATACGAAGCCTTTCGTACTTTGGGTTTCAAAAATAGAAGTTAAAAATTAACTGTTCCTTTGCCTAGCTAAGATCTAACTCTCACTTGTTTCAGCAACGTGATTCATGGAATATTTTTAATTTTACCAAAATCTGACTCTTGATACCACTATAGGAGTTTTAAATAGTGTAAGCTAGTAAATTCACTGTCATATTTTGTAATTGTCAAGCTATGAGTCATAATTATGTAGATGATTTTTTTTTTTTCTCAAGGGGTACTTCTAAAAAGCTTGAAGTACCTCTCTACTTCAGAAAAGTAGCAAGAAGAGTAAAATGTTCTTAAGGGAGACCTTGCTTCAGTAAATCAAACATGAAAAGCATATTTTCTGTGTAGTTCTGCTGAGTCTTAAGGCTCAAAGAACAATATTTGCAATTAAACGAGGATTAAGTGCACCTGTAATTAGAGAAAAGTTATTTGGGCTTTTGTACTAGAAAGGTCAAAGCTGCTTAAAAATTTTATGTGCATATATGTTGTGTGCCTCATACACAAAGTGGTGAGCTACAGAAAGTGGTGAGCTTGCAGGTCTTTGGATACAAACACCAGAGGATTCCAGCAATCCTCTTCATATGAGAAGAACAAAGCTTATGGTGGCTTGTGTTGTCATAAGAGCACAGAAGAATATGCATGGCTTTAGTCAAGATTTTCCTGAGATTTTAAGGGTATCATAAAGTTTTCACAAACCTGTATAGGAATTGAATTGCTTGCTGCCCAAATGTACAACTTCTGGAGGGGACTGGAAGAATTAATATGGGAAATTCTCCTTAAAAAACTGCTGTTACCAGGATATTTTTAATTGCAGTTTTAGGAAGAGTCTGGTTGGCCTTTGGTTTCATCAATGCCCAAAACAATCTGTAGTATTTCAGTGTGTAAATATGCCTGGCAATTAATATATCCCCTAACCTCCTACTCTCAGGACACATCAGTACCCATCCCGCTACGGAACACACATGGCAATGTTACCTTTGCTTACTTTTTGGTGTTTCATGTTGCCTGCTTGGAGATCAGTTTGGTTGATTGGGGAATTACAGACCCTCAGAGGTTGAATTGGAAATAATGAAATGCTTTATTTGGCCACCTTTATGGATGAGTTTACTCATACTGGAAGACAGCATTCAGGAGAAAAGGAAGAACTAAGGGAAGTTCTTGGAAAACAGGCTTAAACATGCATACAGCTGTCACACTTGTGTTTGTTTGGCATTATCTGACAAGTCAGGCTTGTGTGCTTCAGGCCTCCCTCAATCAAAACTGAATTAAAAATTGCTTCATGTAGGTATTTAAATAAACTATGCCTTGGTGCACATGGCCAGCCGAGCACCACAGCATTTTTCAGTTATGACTGTTCAGAAAAAAAAAAAAAAATCACAGAATATGTTGAGTTGGAAAGGACCCACAAGGATCATCAAGTCCAACAGCTGGCCCTGCTCAGGGCCATCCCCAAGAGTCACACCATGTGCCTGAGAGTATTGTCCAAATGCTTTTTGAACTCTGTCTGGCTTGGTGCTGTGAGCACTCCCAGGGGAGCCTGTTCAGGTGCCCAGCCACCTTCTAGGTGAAGAACTTTTTCTAAAATCTAACCAATGTTTGCATCTAACTTACCTCCCATGCCTATCTACGTGGCATGTCTCTCTAACATGTATCTAGGCAGGTATTTAAAGAAAACAGATGTTTTATCAAAGTATGCCTTATTGTTTCTCCATGATAATGTTACAGGCTTCCTATTTAGCAATTTGTTAACTTCTTTGATAGCTTTGTTACATTTCAGGTTTTCATAGGTGTAGTTGAGTCTTTACTGTAGATAAAAATGGTATAGATCATACTTTAGAAACATCAGGCTCCTCATCGTGCCTCAGATCTCTATAGTTGTCTTGATGGTAACGTGAGATAGTAATATAATTCATCAAATAATTTTTTTAGTGGCTTTTTTAGTACCCACGAAACTTTATCAGCATAATGTCTAATTTCCTAAAGTACAAGGAACAGTTCTGTGTCATTTTAAAGGGGATCTACAGCAGCTGAATGGCAATATTGGATGTGGATTATTCTGTCAGCTGTACAGTGGTTTGTTACATTGTCTCAGCCACCTGCAAATCTTCATTCTCCTGAATTACCAGCAACTACTCTTACTTCGTTCTGATGTTTCGCTTTGCAATAGAACTTTGCAAAAACAAAGGACAGAAGGATGCTTGACACAGTGTATGACATTAGGAGCAGTATTTTGGAACAACCTTATTATTCACGTTGGGCTGCAGAACAGGAAAATTCTGAATAGAGCTATATATATCCTCAGTTCTGACACCACAACTTCAAGCTTTGTTCTTCTTTTCCATTATATAAACTGAACACCTTTTACAAAGGCTGTGTCTGTATATATTATGTAACTTTAAATGTTACCTGTGTAAGATCATATCTTATATATATGGACACAGGTACACATAAGTATTTTTTAAATTAAGATTGTAATATCACCAGATCTGCTCTTGGAAATCCAGGGGGACCAAAATATTTTAGCATTCAAAATATTAATTTTGTACCATTTCAAGTATATACCAAAACAGTTTCTGATTAATACTGATGCAAATGTTTATTGTAAATATTACATACATTATACATCACTTAAGTTTTGCGGATTTAATCAGTTTTACATGTTAGTAGCGTTGAAGCCTCAGTTTGGTTTACAGGCTTGTGACCAGGTGGATGTGGACATGGAGAAAAGGAGCATTTGAAATGGTCTGACGCTGAAAAGCCTGAAATGTCATTTTTGAAATGCTGGAATTCTTCAGGGACCTTCCAACCTGAAAAGCTGGAACTCTGGGAAGTTTCTCAAGCGGACTTTCCAAGTGTGACACGCTGCCACCCTCCAGTGGTTCCGCTTGGAATCCTAAGAAAGACTTTGTATATAGGTAAAGACATTGGGATGGACTGACTGTATGGGGACGTGAAGGTGTCAAATGAAGTAAGAGGCTATTTTATTTTTTCAGTAATGGCTCTGAGTGTGATTGCCATGAAACTCACCTTTTAGTTAGTTCCTTGTTTATGTTGTGCCATTGAAATGATTGCAAGGTGTTGATCATTGTGTTTAAAAAAAACAAACAAACGAAAAACCCCTCCACCATATCAGTTGCTTTAAACTCAAATTACCTCTTAAAAGACCAAGGTACATTTACCTCATGTGTATATAATGTTTAATATTTTTCAGAACGTTCTCCAGGTTTGCAGTTACGTGTTTCTAGAAATATGGGTATTTCTAAATTTACAACTTCAGCGGTACTAAGTGTATTTTCTGGTGCCCCAAAACACTTTAATTTTCTGTATTTTAACGTATTAGCAAGTTTGCTGCTTTGTCACTGTAGCACCTGCCCTTACATAGCTGTGTGGATACTGCCTTGTAAATTTTACTTTTTTGGATGATTTGAGGATCCTGTACAGATGCGTGTCACTTTTCTAAACCTTACCAAATTGTGCATTTCCCTTACATTTCTGAAAATATGTATTGTATTTGTAGAGTATACATTTCAATGGATTGTAAATAGGATAGTAGAAGAGTGGATGCTTATGTTAAGTGCTAACACTACAGTAGAAAGATTAAAGCAGTGAAAATAAATAACTTTTTTCAAGAAGTGTGAGTTGTCTTTCAGAGCCGTTAAGTAAAAGCAGGTTGTTTCTGTGCCAAACTCTGGTTTAGACTGCTGTTACATTTCTCAGGGAAACTGAAGATTTAGGCACGACAGCAATAGGGCATCTTGCCCTTCCGTAACTTTTGGTTTTAATTTTGGCTTAGAACTAACCAGACAGAATTACAAAAAGGTACTCGTTCCAGCAGCCTTTCTCCAAAAGGGGAAGCCATAAGGTGTCCAGAGAAGGCCAATAGCTCTGTCAAAACACCGTGTTCCTGTTCAAATGCTTTTACAGGAGCTATGATTATTTGGCTGCAAATGTGTCCCTCTCCTGTGAGTGGCTGAAGGAAGGCAACTGCAAGCTACCAAAACTCGGTAAAATCCTGAATCCCTCTCCTGCATCTACTAGTAGAGGAAATACAAGGTCTGGAAATAGCATAGTAATGTTGCTGTTTACCACATTTAGTTTTTTATTAAATAGTCTTCTGTGTTTCATGCTTTGAGGGCCTGAGCCTAACAACTGGAAAGCCATAACCAGCAAACAATTACCACAAGTAACTTAAATGTGGAGATGTTTTAAGATCGTTTTAGAGACACTGAATTCAGAAGGTCTGCACCTCGGTTTGGATTGCAAGTCAGCGTGAAGAGGTAGAATTTCAGCTGAATTTTTAAAGTGGGGAGCTGTTGAAATGGCTTCTTTCTAATACCCACTGCACCGAAGTAATGAATGTTTTCTGTAGGTACAGCTAACAAGAGAGTGTATAAACAAACCACTTCTATGCAGTACCGAGTAAGTATTGCAATTTTCCTTTTATCAATTTTTGTGATTTTTTTTAACAGATGCACATTAATTGATGCACCCAGTAATTGTAGTATAGCATCAGGGTTGTCTTTATACTATACTAGAAAATAGTAGAAAATGTATTCCTTTTAAATTAGGAAATCAAAAATTCCAAATTTCTCATTCAGTGCTCTTACTAGCTTTTTTTTTATCTACCAAGCCAAACTGTGATGTTTTAACTGGAACTAACAGTGTTCATCGTTTTGCTGATGAGACATTACTAAAATCTTACACTGCAAACCCATTTACCCACATGATGGGCTGCTGTGGTTTTGAGTCTCAGAATTGTGTTTTGGAGTGGTTGGAGCTGTTCCAGGTTGTTTTCCAGGTTGGAAAAAAATGTAGGCACAGCATTTCCTTTTTTAACTTGAGTAGACTGCAAATAAAGTGTCCGGTAGTGCTTGGGAAACTCACAGCCATGAGTCTTCCTGAGAGGTTCTTGAAAATAAGATTTAAATCCGCAGTCTCCAAGATGTAATGGTACCAGAAATTGTTACCTCTCTTTTGAGAAGTAAAAAACCAAAGCAAACTGTGCTGATAGGTTCCTATACAGGAATGCTGTGTTTATTGGTATTAAAAGGGCTATGTGGATGTACTTTCAAATTGTTTTAAAAAGAAATAATTTATGCTAAAGGTAGCATATTCTATACATTTCAAATTAAAAACAGATGGTTTCTATAGGCCATTTGAAACCTGGCTTGAGTTAAAGAAACTTCTTTAATATGTTGTTCAGCTGATAAATGTTTAGGTACTACTGTTTTAGAAGGTGAACGGCAGCTTGGATCTTTTTACATCCAGTGGATCTTCTCTGCTGGGAATAATTATATTGTATTTTTGTGTTGCCTTTTATGTGCATTGAGTGTTGTAGTATGGAGAAAGACAATTCCAGCACTCATCTTGCTTTCTTGCTTGCTTACTTCCCCTCCCTGCTTTAGCTAGTGCAAAATTCTGCTTGCTAGCATGTGTGCTGAGTCACTGGCACTCAGCTCACCCCCTGCATTTCCTGCTCCATGGGAGAAAGGCATTTGGAAAGCTGGGGGCAGTTGGTTTGGTTTAGTTCATTTGAAAATGTCCCCTTTCTCTGCAATTTCTCGAGCTTTTCTTGCTTTTCTTACAGCCTGGCTCTTGGAGACCTTCTTCTCAGGTAAACTCCAGTGAGAAATTTTATCCCGGTCGCAGGTCTCACTCTCCTTGAAGTCCTACCTTTGTTGTTTATGAGGGGAGAAGCATTTTCTCAGACCATTCCTGACACGAGCTCCCTTACTCGTGCACACCTTCCCAGAGAACACCTCACAGGTGGTGGTTTTGCTTTTGCTTTGGCCCCTTATCTTTGAAATGTGCAGGATGAAACATCTCTGCTGTGTGCTTGAAGTTTGCAGAATGAAACATCTCTGTTGATATGGACTGTGACTCCAGTATCCTTAATGTTCAAAATCTGCTAGTTTTTGGGTTTTTTTTTTTTTGCATAAAGCAGTTCAGAAGTATACAGTAAAATACAGCAAACTGTAATGAT